GGGGGATTATTGGCTGCCTTCCGCTGCCACTCGCCGGAGCCAGAGCATGATTGTGATTTACAAACAATTTAATTTGAGGAATGCAGCGAAATGGAGAATGCCAAAGCATTGCACCCCCCTGGAGCCACCAGTGCTGGGACCCACAGGGTATTTGGTGCCATCAGACACCAAATGGGTGTCCCCCGCGGCTCGGATCCTGCCTGTGTGGCTCTGGGAGGGCACCCATCCAACCTGGGTTGATGATGCACTCGGACACCACAGATTGAGGGTGCTGGAGAAGGACGCATGGGAAGCCAACACCCCATGAGGTTCTTTTTTAGGGGGACACATCCTATTTTATCCAAGACCTGTTTTCCATTTCTCTTTCCTGCCCTCCAGCTCCCAGCCTGCTCTTCCCACTCAGCTCCAGTTATTTTAAGCCCCTTTCCCAGCACACACGTTTCCCCCAGGCACCCGGTTAAACCTTCCTCAGTGGTCGGAGCCCCGCTGGGTCTGGCAGAGCAGGGCACTGGGTACAGGCACTTGTGTTTTCTTAACCTCCATCTATTCTATTTTCACCAGTGAGGGACCGTCTGTGTTCCCTCCACCCCCCCGTGCCCCATGGCCACCCTTGCCCAGAAATCAGCTCCTGTTCCCAGCGGCCGGAGGTGCCTTTGCCCTCGAGCCTCCAGCCTGAATCATCCCTTGTTTACTGCTGTGGGAGAGAAAAGCAAAGTTTGGCCAAAGCACCGTCAAGCAAGGTTTTATTTGTGGCTTCCATCGGTGTCGCTGCAGGGGGGTTGGATGCTGAAGCCCCCTCCCAGCGCTGGGCTCCCCATGCTTGGATGCAGGGAGAAGGCCACTGCAGCGAGCGAGGGCTGGAGGGAGGCGCAGACGCAGCAGACGGTTATTTTCCTCCTCCTGCAGAGAAGTTCAGCCAGAGGCTGGGGAGGTCTTTAGTGAAGTGTCCAATTCATGCAGTGCTGGGGAAAGGAGCAGCCTGGCTCTCTGGTGGTGCTTCATCTTCCCTGGCTGGGCGAGGATGATGGGGACAGCCAGGAGCTGCATCCAGCAGCGCTGTGCCCAGGGCTCGTGGGACGGTGGCTTGGCCACGGGGGTGGCTCTCAGCTGGAAGCAGCCACAGGCTCTTCTCTTACCCACTTGGCACAAGGCAGACATGCCTTGATGTGCCTCTGTGCCCATTCTGGTTGGCCTTAGTGGCTTCATCCCTCCTGCTTTATCCCTCCCAGGGTCCGGCAGCGCTTGGACCCTGGGAGACAACCTTCTCCAAGTCATCTGAGTTTTGGCAGTTACAGCATGTCCTTCACAACAAGTCTTTATCTTCTGCTCTTCTTTTCATCCCTTCCTCTCTCTGGAGCCTCTGTCTCCTTCCCTCGAGCCATCTCTTGTGCATCTCCTCCTCTATCTCCTCGGACCATGCATCTGTCAGCACCACTTCTTCCCAGCCATGGCAGGGGAGCAGGCACATGAAGGGCTGCAAGGGTCCCGGGGTGATGTGCCAATCTCCCCCCAGGCCAGCCCCAGGTACAAGCAGCCCCACAGCCCCCCAGCACCCGCCTGCTGCAGAACGGCGCCGGGCGGGGGCCGGATCCAGGCGGTGCCAACGGGGAGACCGGGAACGGGATCTTCCGTCCCCTGCCCAGCAGCCAGAAGCCTCACCGAAAGCTGCAGTCGCACCACTCCATCAACAGCCAGAGCAGCAAGAAGAGTAAGGGCAGCTCCAAGTCTGCCTCTTCTCACATCCCTATTGAGGCACAAGAAGGTACCGGCTCTCCCTGGCGTGGGGGGGTGAGGGGGGGCCTTTCCAGATGCCCG